TTTAAATGGCTACAACATACTAAACCTTGATCAAAATCGTTCGTGCCATTTTTGAGAAAATTTGTTTTTTCCGTTATTTTATGGGTTTTTATGGGACAATCCCGATTAAAAATCAAAATTAAAAAAAAAAATTAGAAAAACGCTTGTAGATACCATGGATTAATACCTACATACCAAATTTCACCATGTTGATCCATGGTAACAAAGAACAAACCCACAAATTTTAAATGTAAACAAGCAGGCGAAAAAAAAATTGATTTTACATTTCCACACAGCTGGTTCAAACATATTTAATACTGCAAAAATATTAGATACAAAGAGTATGAATCATAATATAAAATAACTAGCTGAAGCCGGCAGACGTTGTCTTGCCTTTGACTATTTATAATTTAAGTACCGTAACGTTTAATTGTCTTATTGTATATGAAGTGCTTATAACTAAATTAAATTACGTACGACAACTAATGAAACGCATATAGTACAAAGGATAACCGATTCTTTATTATTGCTCTTATATTAATGCTAGTGGGTAGACAATATTTTTGGTCTTTCTATTCGGCTCAATCACGTCCTGGTTGAAGTTCGTTCGCTACTCTCACTCACCTTTAGGTTGGAGCTCGTTCGCTACGCTCACTCACCTATAGGTGGGAGCTCGTTCGCTGCGCTCACTTGCCTTCGGGTTAGCTCGTTCACTACGCTAACTCGCCTCCAGGTTGAAGTTCGTTCGCTATGCTCACTCACCTTTTGGTTGCAAATTAGCTGTTGTCATAAATGTAAAAGAAATAATAGTGCTGCTCCCTGTTGGTAATAATTGTAACTTTAATGCTATTGAACATCATAGAACAGAACCAACTTGTTTAATTGAAACAGCTGTTAAAATTCATTAATTCCATTTCTCATAAGGTTAACATGGGAAACTCCAGAGCCACTGGGGTGGAGCCGATTGGACGGATCACTAAATTGATGGTGTATAAACCTATTCCATGAAATTCTACACGTATGTACCAGGTTTCGTGGCAATCGGTCCAGCGGTGTCCGAGTTTATCACTGCCAAATATATATACAAACATCCTCTTTTATACTTATGGATTACTAGCTGTAACCCGCGGGCTTTGCCCTGTTTAACTTCTTAATTTTCAAGATTATCTCGTTCGCATGGCTCAATCACGTCCTGGTTGAAGTTCGTTCGCTACGCTCACTCACCTTTGGGTTGAAGCTCGTTCGCTACGCTCACTCACCTTTAGGTTGGAGCTCGTTCGCTGCGCTCACTTGCCTTCAGGTTAGCTCGTTCGCTATGCTAACTCGCCTGCAAGTTGAAGTTCGTTCGCTACGCTCACTTACCTTTTGGTTGCAAATTAGCTGTTGTCATAAATGTAAAAGAAATAATAGTGCTGCACCCTGTTGGTAATAATTGTAACTTAAATGCTATTGAACATCATAGCATATAACTTCGTAATTTAGGGGACTGCCCCAATCATATTTATACTGAGTATTCTACACATTGTATATTACCATTAGAAAACATCAAAGTTGATGTGATGGACTTAGGAAAAAGATTGTGCACTTTTTCCTTATGCAAGTTCCTATCAACCATATACATTTTGCCTTATAGCTTCGTAATTTACTGGACTGCCTCAATCATACTCATACTGATTATTCTACACATTGTATATTACCATTAGAATACCTCAAAGTTGATGTGATGGGCTTAGGAAAAAGATTGTGTACTTTTTCCTGATGCGAGTTTCTATCAACCATATAGATTTTGACATATAACTTCGTAATTTAGGGGACTGCCTCAATCATACTCATACTGATTATTCTACACATTGTATATTACCATTAGAATACCTCAAAGTTGATGTGATGGGCTTAGGAAAAATATTGTGCACTTTTTCCTGACGCAAATTCCTATCAACCATATAGATTTTGCCATATAACTTCGTAATTTAGGGGACTGCCCCAATCAAATTTATACTGAGTATTCTACACATTGTATATAACCATTAGAATACATCGAAGTTGATTTGATTGGCTTAGAAAAAATATTGTGCACTTTTTCCTTACGCAAATTCCTATTAACCACATAAATTTTGTCATATAACTTCGTAATTTAGGGGACTGCCTCAATCACACTCATACTGATTATTCTACACATTGTATATTACCATTAGAATACCTCAAAGTTGATGTGATAGGCTTAGGAAAAAGATTGTGCACTTTTTCCTATCAACCATATAGATTTTGCCTTATAGCTTCGTAACATACTGGACTGCCTCAATCATATTTATACTGAGTATTCTACACATTGTATAACCATTAGAAAACATCAAAGTTAATGTGATGGACTTAGGAAAAAGATTGTGCACTTTTTCCTGATGCGAGTTCCTATCAACCATATAGATTTTGCCTTATAGCTTCGTAAAAATATACTGGACTGCCTTAATCATATTTATACTGAGTATTCTACACATTGTATATTACCATTAGAATACCTAAATTTGATGTGATGGGCTTAGGGTCAACATTGTGCACTTTTTCCTCATGCGAGTTCCTATCAACCATATGCATTTTGTTTGCCATGTAACTTAGTAATTTAGGGGACTGCCTCAATCATACTATACAGATTGTTCTACACATTGTATATTACAATTAGAATAATTTGATGTGATGGGTATAGGGTCAACATTGTGCACTTTTTCCCGATGCAAGTTCCTATCAACCATATACATTTTGCCTTATAGCTTCGTAACTTACTGGACTGCCCCAATCATATTTATACTGATTATTCTACACATTGTATATTACCATTAGAATACCTCAAAGTTGATGTGATGGGCTTAGGAAAAAGATTGTGCACTTTTTTCTGACGCAAATTACTATCAACTATATAGGTTTTGCCATATAACTTTATAATTTAGGGGACTGCCTCAATCATACTCATACTGATTATTCTACACATTGTATATTACCATTAGAATACCTCAAAGTTGAAGTGATGGGCTTTAGGAAAAAGATTGTGCACTTTTTCCTGACGCAAATTCCTATCAACCATATAGATTTTGCCTTATAGCTTCGTAATTTACTGGACTGCCTCAATCATATTAATACTGAGTATTCTACACATTGTATATTACCATTAGAATAGCTCAAAGTTGGTGTGATGGGCTTAGGGTAAACATTGTGCACTTTTTCCTGATGCAAGTTCCTATCAACCATATACATTTTGCCATATAACTGCGTAATTTAGGGGACTGCCTCAATCATACTCATTTGATTATTCTACACATTGTATATTACCATTAGAATACCTCAAAGTTGATGTGATGGGCTTAGGAAAAAGATTTTGCACTTTTCCTGACGCAAATTTCTAACAACCATATAGATTTTGCCTTATAGCTTCTTAATTTACAGGACTGCCTCAATCATATTAATACTGAGTATTCTACACATTGTATATTACCATTAGAATAGCTCAAAGTTGGTGTGATGGGCTTAGGAAAAAGATTATGCACTTTTTTATGTTCGGAGTTTTAATTGATCGCGTTATGTTAAGCCATATAGCTACGTATAATGTACAGTACGGTCTCAAATATGCATTTTAAAATACGCCAATTAATTAGTTTTAACGTGTATACACGTTTTATCGAGGTATAATTGACATTATATAAATGTAAAAACATCATTTCGCACCGTATTGTCATTGAATTGCATTTCCGTCATCCCTGCAAAACACGTTTGTGGTGCCCGTAGGCGTACCAACCCATATCTATTACAATCCGAAAAAGCACCGATGAAAAGAGCCGCTTACTTCACGACGGTCTCAAACCATTGAGATATAGATTATAACTGGAGTCACTACTCTCTGGTTAAACGTTAGAGAAAAACGTGCCACTGTTTTGGCTGGTTTGTTTTTGGTGTTTCGTGTTGTTAGGTTGGACTCGACGTTCTGTACCCACGAGCACCTCCGCCTCCACAGAGCTCTTGGAACACTTTCCGAGGTAACTGTTACTTCCTATGTGTATTAGCTTCTCACAGCTATCCGCTGTAACTGTTATTATTCCATGAATTTAAGTTGTGGTTACAGTTGACAGCGACAGCAGCAGCTGTACCAATTTGAAGTACGTCTACGCCTACGTGATTAAATAATAAATTCAACTTGGACAATGTAACTACGAAAATGGTTATTTTTATTGGGGAAAATAAAAATAGTAAATAGATCTATGAATATGTAAAATTTTTTATGCTAGAAATTATGTTTACATCACAGTGTTTTAGGCGAATTTCCCAATAGGGGAGTAAGTTAGCTATGTAGGTGGCACGGTAAGACCTAGACCCGGGACCGATTTCCTTTTTCATTTTGATGTCCCCAGAGGCCAAAAACACCAATTTTGATGACATTTCGGTTTGAAGTTGTAAAGGTGGGATAAACTTAAATGAGTTTACTAACCAGCATGATCGGATCATGGGAACGGGCTTTTATGGGATAAAAGTTTTTCTGATTTTTGACCCACAAAATAAAAAATTCCCAATTTCTCTCTAGACCCTTTTAAAGAGCTTAAAAAAATAAATAATTTACTTAGTAGCCTACATATATCAAAGTTTTTTTGTACGGTTAATGGTAACGGATATCATTCAAAAAATTGTAAACTTCATATTCCCATGTGATTCTTATGGAGAATATTTTAAACTGTTGTTTGCTTGTTTATGGACATATTTTAATCAAACTTGGCAATTTCTTTTTTATTTTATACTAAGCTAAGTGTAGTGGCACCACACTATTAATATTTTACTAAAAAACACACTTTATTAGTTTCCTTGTAGCATCAAACCTAAGTACTCAAACCTAATGTTATAGATTTGATTGAAAATCAATCTAGACAAATGGAAATTCGCTTAGTCGGCAGGGTTTTGCTTGGTTGGCGGGGGGAGGTTTTCTTGAAGAGTAGGCCTATTTTAATAATTAATTGTTACTCCCATTAATTAAGGTAGTTAAATTATTAATTTATCGTCACTCTTTACAATCCACAATTGAATTAACTGTGACTAGTAATAAATATTTTAATTAAATATATAGGTCCTATACATTTTTTTTTTTTTTTGGTAGGAAGGTGTGAATGCATTTACGCACACCCTTGCTCCTGCAAGGGTAGTGTGGGACTAACAGAAACAGACTACCCACTAAACACACCTCCCCCCTCCCTCTAAGATGGCTGGGGAGGGCGGTCACAGCGTATCAGGATTTGGTCATGATTTTCCGCAGCCTTTTTCTGTGAACAAGAGAAATTTTACAAACAAATTCTTTCTTAAGCATTAAGAACAGTCAGTAATTGTTTACCTAGACTTTATCCTTTGCAATTTTTTTCTTTGAAACATATAAAATTATTTTTTTATAAAGATAGAAGACCAGAAAATATTTGTGAAGCAAGAGGTAATAAAATGGGGTTTTCTTTTCTTTTAGGCATTGTACAAATGCAGTGGGCATCGTCAATATATACAACTTAGCCTAAGGAAAACCATGCAAACAAAGCACTCAAAATAGGTCTGCCTCACTAATTGGAGATATAAACAATCAGGTCGCTAGGGCCTATTGTATTTCTTGAAGGAAATAATAATAAAGAAATTTGTCTATTGTCTATGTCACTTTTAAGCATATTTCTAAGTAAAAGATAAAAGAGACATGTAGGGATAAAAGAGTGTCAGAAAAAGTAATATTGGGGTGAGGGAAGGGTATAAAAACGGAAAGTAAATAAAAGATACATCTAATAACACTTATAACATAGGCTATATTTACACTTATACTGTTAACTCACAAGACGGTAGATATACTGTACATAAAAGATGGTACGGTAAGTGCCGATCCATCTTTTATGTATATTTACCATCTTGTGAGTTATCATTATAAGGGTAAATATATGTTTTAAGTGTTATTAAACGTAACTTTTATTTACTTTCCATAAATTTAATAACACGTACAAAGCTGATCAAGAAGTTATTTAGTATAACATCCAAAAAAATTACAAAATACAAGATCGGGTAAAGGGTGGGAGTAGCCAGGTAACAAGGTAGGTAAATAAATTAACGTTAGGTTAGATTATTGTTTATGTAAAAAATAACCTAGCCTACAACATAACACTACCTTATGTGGTCGTTATCACCTCTACGACAGAAGAGCACCTCTTTAATCTCAAATGCTTTTCCGAAGAAATTATTTAATCGTAATATATTCTTAGAAATTTGTTTTGAGTGACATATCTTCCTAGTAAAAAGTTGCAGGTCTAGGCAAACAATTAACGAACAGTCATAAGGCATTCCCACCAGGATTCTCCATATCCTTCTGTAAACAAGATAGAGGAATTTCACATATACATAAATTTCTTAAGCATTAAGAACAATCAACTAAAATAAAGAATACATGCATAAACTAGGCTCTACCACCTAATTTGAAAACTCAGCTATGCGTAACATAGGCATACATTCTTATCTATCGTTTCAAACTTTGAAGCCGTGCACCGCACTTTGCCACCAGGCAGCTCGTGTACATCATCAAAGGTTTCCCTCGGATGATGGTCTCCCAAGTGCAGTCACAGCTCACGGCATACAATGCTTTCTCTCTGAATGAAAAAGCTAGCTATAGTGCATGCACCCTTAAACTGATTATCAAACTTATATTAGTTTTTTATTTTATTTTTATCAATTGAATTAGTTAAACTTAGGCCCTATTAAAATTGTGAATACAATACCCGGTAGCCTACCTGGCCACGAGGATAAATAAGGCAGAAACTTAAAATATGTGCTGTTTAAGACTCAGATATGAAAATTGAACATTTCATTGAATAATTTCCTAATCTATTTAATAATAAATTTACTAATCAAAATGAATTGATAATTTTTTAGACATTTAGAGCCTAACTTAGGCCTACTCTTATAAATAGATAAGTTGTTAATTTAACTATTTCAAAGGCAATAACTTAGACCTAAACTCAACTGAAAGGCCCAACTTACTTAAAATAAACCTAGACCTACCACTACAAAAACTGCAATCTAACAAATTCACACACAAACACAACTCAACCTAACCCTCTTTCTTGAGGAATCCGAAAAATATAGGTTAAGTGAACACTTAAAACTTAATAAATAATTCATGAACGTAAAACATTTAATTGTCAATACCTAATAACAAATCAGCTTCAGCACACTCACAGCACTTTAATTTTCATAATCATAAAACACCTTTTCAAGCAGCTCAAGTCAAAAGTAAATAAACAGTAAAGAATAAACACCTTTTCCTTTACAAAACCAAAACCACAATGCACATGCACAGTTTGCTTGCAACTGCTGCAACTGTTGAATGAAACAACTATCTAATCAGGACCAATACAGAGTTACAGTGAAGCTATTACACAAATAGCTGTTATCCCAGGAACTGTTCCAAGGACTACTGTGCATGTGGAAGTGGAGGTGCTCGTGGGTACAGAACGTCGAGTGTTAGGTTGGCCGTGTGATCGGTTGGTGGGATGCTGAATTTTTATTTCAGCTGCAGTATTTTTAATACTGTCAAAATCGGAGTATTCTATTGGCTGAGGGACCACCATTACTGCAACGATACGGCTAGTTGCCATCGGCCTCGGTGGTCTAATGGATAACGTGCTGGGCTGAGAAGCCCAAGGTACCAGGTTCGAAACCTGTCGGTGGCATTAACTTTTTATCAAAGATTTTTGCATTATCAGCAAGTTTGGTTAGTTTGGTTAGGTTATAACAGTTTAATTTTATAATAAAAAAAATTTTAAATTGAATTTGAAGCATTTATAGATTTATTTTATGAACAGAACTATTTTTTTGATAAGTAAACCTTCATTCAATTTTTTCATTATCAGCAAGTTTGGTTAGTTAGGTTAGGTTATAACATTTTTATTTTATAATTAAAAAAAATAATTTTAAATTTAAAAATTTTTATTTATTTTTTTTATTTCTAATTTTTAAACTCTCATTTTGTCCATATTAAAAAACTGCAGCTGAAATAAAAATCGTGCTGGTGGGATGCTGTCAAATAATTGCAATTCATTCGAACATAACCATACTATTTATTTGGGGTTATGTTATCCGTTATTTCAAGGACTTGTATCAAAAACTTATTCAAGTTATTGCACGTTAAAACCTCTGTATTTAAAGTTATTTTGAAACATTATAAACTGTTTTTGTTTGATAGTAAATAAATACTAACTTATTTACCTCTTTTCAAGCTATGTGGTGAAAATAGGCTAGTCAAGTTTCCCTCTTTGGAGATATTGGTTTAGGCCAATAGCCCTATGGCATTTGATTAAATAACGACCATCGGTTTATGATCTTGTTAAAATGGATTGCTCTTGCTCGCAAAATAAATAAATAAACTTATATTGCAATCATAATGTTGAGTTGGCAGATTTTTGTTTACTATCATCAACAAAACAGGATGACGCCATCTTGATTTTGCCTCTAATTTGACAAGTCCCACCAACCCGATCACCCGGCCAACCTAACGAAACGAAACTCTGAAACAAAACCAGCAAAAATAGTGGTACGTTTTTAAAACACAGAGTGGTTACTCCAGTTATTATTATAGCTCAGTGTCTCAAACCGGCTAGTGATAAGTGATGTTTACGAAGTGACTAACACCATAGATAAAACACACTCTAAGGCCGCGGCTCCACTTGCCGTAGATTGCAGCGCTGCAAATTGTAGCTGGTCAGTTGAAGAAATGGGAAGGCAGCGATCAAACGAAGGTGGCTCCACTAGCGACAGTCTGCAGCGCGCTACATTTTACGGCGCGCCGTAGAATGTAGCGTCGCGCGGGAATGGAACTCGGACCATTTTCACGCTACATTTTGCAGCGAACAGGTGGCTCCACTAGCTGTAGATTGTAGTGCCGCGTCAAAGTGTACGTACAACCGACCAGCATACAGGCACGAGACACACGCTACAATCAGTATCGACTTTTTAGTGTCCTTAGTTTTTGATTTTTGTGGATTGATTTGTAATCAATGGAGCCTGAACTATAGACTGTGAAATTATTATATTAGAAATTTATAACTTATTATATCGGGAGTGTGGGGATCTTGTTTTATAGAGGTTGTGTAGGGGGTTTCTACTTTATACATATTATAAATTAATACAGTAGTGATTGGAGAAGCAAATACGTAAACACATTCAATTTGTTTTTAAATGCAGCAGTCGTAAAATTGTTATGATTAGCCCTATAATGAAAAGTTCCTAATGGTTGTTTTAGATTATTATTAATATGTACAACAAAAACTCAAGAAACTCATTGATATTCAGCGTAGGCCTACTTTGGTTAGACATATTACTTCTGAGGGTAAATGAGTGCAATAAAAAATGGAAATAGAATAGAAATAAAGATAAAATGACCATTAAAGTAAGAGTAGGTAATTCGACACACCCAGGATTGATGAAGCGAGGGTTCACTGTATAAAATTATTAGTTAAAATTCAGTACACTAAAATTGCATTAATGTCACTGAAAGCCGTTCCCCTACTCCAATTGCTTCTCTTAGTTTGGTATTCTTCTTCTTCAAACGTGTTGATACTGTCTGAATACTTTTGTAGTTTAGTATGCAATGTGTAGAACATCCCTTCGGACTTTCTATTGCTTAAAATTGGATGGATCCAACATTTTCGGATGCTGTGATCGGCGTCGTCTTGATAAAAGTACACTGATAACAACAAGACTACGAATGTTAATTTGCGGCATGATCCAGGGTCAAATTTACCTCCGCGCTACACTAAACTGCTAGTGGAGCCACGGTGCATGCGAGGACGCTGCAGATTGTAGTTCGTACTCTGCTGCTAGTGGAGCCACCAACTGTCGCGTGTAGCGCGCTACAATTTGCAGCGCGACGATTTACGGCAAGTGGAGCCCCAGCCTTTCGCTGCAGATTGTAGTTCGTACTCTGCTGCTAGTGGAGCCACCAACTGTCGCGTGTAGCGCGCTACAATTTGCAGCGCGACGATTTACGGCAAGTGGAGCCCCAGCCTAAGGCTGCGGCTCCACTTGCCGTAAATTGTCGCGCTGCAAATTGTAGCGCGCTACACGCGACAGTTGGTGGCTCCACTAGCAGCAGAGTACGAACTACAATCTGCAGCGTCCTCAGATGCATCGTGGCTCCACTAGCAGTAAGTGTAGCGCGGAGGTAAACGTGGCCCTGGATCATGCCTCAAATTAACATTCGTAGTGTTGTTATCAGTGTACTTTATCAAGACGACGCCGATCACAGCAGGAAAATGGTGGATCCATCCAATATTAAGCAACGTAAAGTCCGAAGGGATGTTACACACAGCATACTGAAAGTATTCAGACAAGTTTTTTTGAATATTATCGAATGTCCCAAAACTCGTTTGATTACTTAATAGAATCAGTATCAACACGTTTTCAGAAGGATACCAAACTAAGAGAAGCAATTGGAGTATAGGAAAGGTTTTCCCAGTGACATTAAGGTAATTTTAGTGTACTGAATTTTAACTAATTAATTGTATTCAACCTCAGAAGTAATATTTCTAAGTAACCAATGTAAGGTGAATATCAATATGAGTTTCGTGAGTTTTTTTATTATAGGGATAATTATAACAATTGTACGACTGTTGCACTTAAAAACAAATTGAATGTTTTCACGTATTTGTTTCTCCAATCATACTACTGTTTTACTTTATAATATAAAGTAGGAAACCCCTACACAACCTCTATAAAACAAGATTCCCACACTCCCGATGTAATAATTTAATAAATTTCTAATATAAAAACTTCACAGTCCAGTTCAGGCTCCATTGATTACAAATCAATCCACAAAAATAAAAATAAAACTAAAGACACTAAAAAGTGTATTGTCCATGTATGCCTGTCGGCTGTACGTACACTGACTTGGCGCGGCACTACAATCTACAACTAGTGGAGCCACCTGTTGGCTGCAAAATGTAGCGCGAAAATGGTCCGAGTTCCATTCCCGCGCGACGCTACATTCTACGGCGCGCTGTAAAATGTAGCGCGCTGCAGACTGTCGCTAGTGGAGCCAATGGTGGAGCCACCTTCGTTTGATCGCTGCATTCCCATTTCCTCAACTGACGAGCTACAATTTGCAGCGCGGCAATGGGTCGCCGGAATGGTCGCCCCCGGAAACATCACCCCCCAGGCTAAACGTGACGTCACGAAACCAGACAACCAGCTGGTATAAAATCTATGTCCGCGACCGGAATCATACCCCCCCAACAGCTTTTCCACAGAAGAAAATTGCAGACCCTGTAGTGGAATATCAATCAGTAGATTTAGATGTGTATGAACTTCTAAGACAACTATATTTAGTTGTCTTAGAAGTCGGACTTAGTTGAAGTTCTAAGACAAAACTATATTTAGTTGTCTTAGAAGTTCATACATTTTTACATTTTTAAAGTCAATCTTTGCTCGTATTGTTATACGAGCAAAGATTGACTTTAAAAATGATTCTTTTAGACTTAATTCATAAAAAAAAAACTACCAACGATACGGTAATGCGTAAAGTATACATTTTTTCTGTTGCATTAAAAAGTAGTTATACTTATCAACATCAGTAAACTTACCTTACACCCTATGGTAATTGTTAAGCAACACAATTGTTAAAAATAGAATAATTGCTAAATGTACAGTATTAAAAATGAATCGCATTGCTTTAGGTTTGGCCCCGATTTAATTAATAATTTGAAAATTAGAAACATATTACTAAATAAGAATAAACATAATAATATCTTTTAGGGGTTTAATCCCTTAAATTTAACGAAATAATTAATTGTTAGTAATTACAAATATGTAAATGATACTATTCTAAAGGTTATGCCAAAAAGTACCTTAATTCAGAAACAGCCTAGGCTAGATTCATATCACTGGAATAGAGAAATATAATCAAAGTATAATAAAAATATCAGAATAACTTTAAATCGAGAAGATTGCTTGCAATCAGTGTTGAAATACCAATAAATTAGTTTTGTTATAAGATGTATATGTTTAGAAAACCTTTTTGCTACTGAAGTTTGCAAAATTATGTTTCATAATTACTAAGGGGAATATATACGTGAGTTCAAATTTTTAATATGTAATCAAAATTTGAAGTGTTGAGCTTTAAACTTGTATTACATTGCTTAAACGATAGTAACATTCGTATATACTCCAATTAATGTATCACAAAGTGCCAATTATAATTAAAAATACCCCCTCCGGCCACCACAGCAAACCTGCAAACTAAGCGAATAACCATTTGCCTGATTGGATTT